AACAGATAAATTCTTGTGTTAGTTGCTTGTACCCAGGGGAGGTGGGATTTGAAATGCTGATCAGAATAATTAACAGAAGGTAAGATGTAATTTACACAGCTGTTAAAATTCTAACTTCTTCCACATGAAGGTGTTTTTTTATGCAAAATTAAAAGAACCAACTAACCAAAATAAATAAAGAGATAAAATAGAAAACTCCAGACATAAAGCATAATAAGAAGCTGGGCCAGGCAAACAGATTATTTTTGGAAGTATCAAACCATCGCTGAAAATTTCTAATGTGTTAGACACTTCAAATACTCTTGTGTTAGAATGCTGTAGCAGGCATGAGTCACTGTTATTTTACAGAAGATACTTGTCCCTTACAGTATGTGTGCTTGAAGCCTGATTTCAGGAGATGCACCAGAGCAGAAAATCTGCAGCTACCTGGAAGTCTATTGGAATTGATGGATTAAAATTGCATATTGCTCATCCTATCTCAGAATACTGAAGAGGAAAAATTTATGTCCTGGTGTAATGAGGTATTTGCCTCCATTTCAAGGCTGTATTGCAGCCTGCTGAAGGCTTCGTGCCACAGAAAACCTGTGCCATCACAGGCAAATGCTTTCAAAGCATATAAAGGATAAAAGATAATGCAAGGAATACCTGTATTAATTCTCTAGTAGTTGAAGGAACACCTGAAAGCTTTCCAGAGAAAGCTAGCAAAGGAAACCATACTGAGTTACAAAATAGAAAATTTCAAGCTTGATGGCATCAAAAATTTAAGTAGTCCATTTTAAAGCAATCTTGACTCTTTTATGCATGGCTCTAGGTCTAATTTCGTTTCTCGCAAATTCTTATCCCAACCTGCTCTGCTTTTTCAGTCTTCTGTCTTATTGTCTTCAGAAAGACCTCTTTTCTTCATTTGCATAGCACTTTTCAGATGTGTCATTTTCTTTAAAGAATTCTGGAAGATATCTTGTCTTTGTCAGTTTCTCTAAATTACTCTCTGGAGCTCTGACATGGATGTCTCTGTCAGTTTCTGTAAATTACTCTCTGGAGCTCTGACATGGTATGGGTCAAAGTTGGTATATAGACAGAATCATAAGAACTGAGGGCACAGGCTGGACCTCGTATCTACCTTGCTTAAGTAAAACTTTATCACTTTAAGATCTCGAAATTAATCTAAATTAAACTTTTTTGTCCAAGTCACTCTAGCAATGAATACCCTGAGAAGAAACCTGTCTACTTTTTTGGCATTAAACAATTATTTTTTTCATGTCATGTTTTGAAAAACAGTAACAAAATATAGAATTTCAACACTAGGAAGTACTTACTGTTTTACAGAAAAATACCCAAAGGAAGGCCCACATCAGCCACAAATCTTCAAGAATTAATAGTGTACTATAATGACAGTGAGGAATATATATATTTATTTATTCCACATCAGCCACAAATCTTCAAGAATCAATAGTGTACTATAATTACAGTGAGGAATATATATATTTATTTATACTGTATTACAGTGAGGTCAAAACTGAGTTGGAGCATCTGTATGCACATTATGGTTAAAACTAAAATCAGAGAGTCATTGAGGTTGGAAGGAGACCTCTAAGATCATCAAGTCCAACCATTAACCTGCCACTCTCCTGTAACCCCTAAACCCTAAATCATATTCTCCAGTGTCAGATCCGAATAACTTTTAAACACTTCCGGGGATGGTGACTCAACCACCTCCCTATCTTTTAAACACTTCCGGTGATGGTGACTCAACCACCTCCCTGAACAACTTATTCCAGTGCCTGTTCAAAGTATAAATTAAGTATTTCAAAGTTGATGTGCATGGTAATCTGAGTAGTCAGATGTGTTCTTGAATGAAAGTGAAAAATCTGTAATTTAGATGTCTCTTTCATCTAGTATCTGACCTTTTGGTGGAATACATAAATGTGCTTTCTTTGCTGTTTCCTCTTCGTGCTCCAAGAGCAGAGAAGTTCTTTAGTGGTTGTATCTCACTTCATGCTGAAGGACTTCACACACAAATTACTTTGATCTATACTTATTTTATTCCTAATAAACATGTTAGGTCAGAAAATAGAATTATGGATGAGCAAGACAGGATGGAATTCATTTGCAACTGACAAATTCAAGAGCTCTTACATTACTCCTTCTAATGAGTAGTTAAGAAAGCAAGATAAGCTAAGCATGCACAGTATCATAGATACAAACCCACAAAATATATTGCATCTCTAATAATATTTCAGAATTTGATGAAGATGTAGGATGCCTTTGAACAGTGATCATGGCACTACTGAAGCGTGTCTCTTCAGAGTACATGGGCAGTAGTCACCTGTGTAAAGCTTGGATCTTCAGAAACTCTCACAGTGAAGTGCAAACAGCCTAGATTACAGTCACACTTTTTCAAAGACTGTGATAAATAATGGGCTTGAGTGTCTGCTACTGCTTATGGAGGGTCTCACTACCTGACACTGAAGAATTTAAAAGAGGAATGAACTAAAAAGGAGGTTGATGTGCCCGAGGGACTAAAATAACCCCATCTGCATATTGAGTGGGGTTACCACCTGTTCAGTAATTACCATGTGGTTAGAGTATTTAAACTGTGACACCATCAGAGAATAATTCAGACCTGTTGTTTCAGACCTGTGATCCCAAGTCTTCACTCTAATCAATTAAGAAATTGAGACAAGTTGCTTCATGACAGCAGTGGTCATATTATCATGGTGATCTGCAGGTTGTAGTGGCAACACAGATTAGAAATGCCATTATTACTTAAGTGAGTCAAATAATGTTACTTAGGCCTACCACTTTCTGCTGGAGTAGGCTCACCAGTTTTGAGTTTTGTATTCCAACTCAGTGCACTTAACTGGCATAACATCAAAGGGAAAAGAGCAGCTAAGGACTTCTTAACAGATGTCACTTTCAGGTAAATGAAGGACACAATAGCTTTCTGTAACTTTTCCTAATTTGAACTTTCTTGATGTTTTTTCCCCTTTGTTCAGGTATTAAAATGCTTTTTATAACTCTAGGGGGAGACATAAACTTGTGGCATGGTCTTATGGGTTAGCTTATTTAAAGAGCTTTAATTCCTTTAATGACTAAGATCAGAATGACCCTCCTGTTGTAGTGTGTTTATTCCAGATAGCATAGGAAGCTTCTGTGTTAATTAGGCAGAACTGGATGGTTAAAGGATGCTACTTTTCTTAGAGTAGTATGAGCAATAAATGTGATTTGAAAAAACACTGCTTTCCTCATTACCTGCTTAAGGATAACTGATGTTTGCACACAGAGCTCTTCTGTGCAGTGTAAGGAAAGATATTTTGCAGTAATGTAAATAGGGATGTGAACAAATACACAAGTTATGATGATCATATTTTCTTAGAATCTTACAGGCAGACAGAAGAGAACTTCATAAAGAAGAAAACACTCATCATTGAGTCATTTCACTTCCAGTTCAGATTTGACTAACTCTTTTTCTGAAAGAGAGCCAGGGAGATCCTTCCCTGTGACAGCAAGGGTTCCCAGGTCAGCTGACTATGTTCACAACCTGAATAAACATGGCTTGAAGCAGGTTACCTGAGCTATGCTTACAGGGGAATCATTCAACCTGAAACATCAAAAGGGGACTGGCTTCCTCTACAGCTAAGAGGAACATGACTTGCAGTCTTATTGTGCATTATTGTAGCTGCACAGGCAATAGGGCATAATCTTAGAGGAGCAAAGAACAGAGTCCTGAGCTCTGGTTACACAGGTCTCACAATACTCCAGATGAAAGAGATCAATGTCTGCCTCTCTTGACAAGAGGAACAAGGCTTTTGCATTATTGACAAGATTGGTCACTGTGAGTATGTAAATGAGATGGCTCAGTCAGAGTAGGTAGGGTCTTTTCTACATGTTGCCTGCACTAGTTTTTTGTTGAACTCACACTGGCCAGGCAGGGAAAGGAGCATTGCCTTTTGCTTTGTCTGCCTGCCTGGTTCTTTTCAGCATGGTCTCTGTTTACTTGCTTTTTTGGGGTGTGTGTGAGAGGGGTGCATGTTGAAAACAAAGGAATTGATGTTAATAATTTGGATATTTTAAAAGTCTATATATTGAAGTCCTTTCCTAGACAGACTGAAACTTTACAAGAACAAATGCTAGCAAAATAAGTGAATGGGTCACAATTTTTAGAAAAGCATTTAATCACAAAATCTAAATTTGGTAGCAAGAGCTTTTGTTTCTGCTTGTGCACATCTTTCCTTACCCTGTGAAAACTTGTTATGTCATATTTTGATGGGGATCTTCCCAGGGAAAATAAAAACTAGAAAAAATCCACCTAAGCACTGTGCTTATTTTGTTGTCTAGTACTTGTTCACATTCGTATTCACTGCTTAGGGGACTAAAAACACATCAGACTAACTAACAGATGTCAGAGCCATTTTGATTGGATTTAACTAACTGTGCAATAGATTTACTTAATGTGACTCTGTATGTCTTGAGGTGAAGCTTTCACAGTATGTTTCTTGTTTGGATTGTCCTGGACACTTAAATGTTAAGTCAGCATCTCCTGTCATTCATGGAGTTACCTTCATATGGTGAAACAACTGGGTCTTAAGAAGAGAAATTGTCATAATTTAATTTTAACCTGCCTTTTTTTTTCCCACTCAGATTCACTTACATGTTTTAATGGAGGTGAGTGTGTTTACAGAGGTCTGTGCAACTGCAGTAGATTTAATGCGACGGGACCGAGATGCCAGACAGGTATGTAAAGAGAGAAAACTAACTGGGTTTCTGGGATTGTTCTTGGGTTCCCTCAGCTGCAAGGACAACTACACCCTGCCTAAAGATTCCTTCATACTCTGGTGTTTTTCCCTCCCTTTCTTTTATGTGATATTTCACAGCATGCCACGTACTCTGCTGCATCTCAACTACAGTTTGAATCAAAAAAAAACAGTGCTATGTCTCAAATGACTCTCCTTCTGTTAGTGTATAACACAGGTGCTGAAAGAGACCATATATGCAGAACATGGGGGCAATATAATTTTGAAACTTTTGATGGACTCTATTATTATTTTCCTGGGAAATCTACATATGCCCTTGTGAGACATACTGAATTAGATGAACAGAGCTTTTCCATACAGGTAGGGAACTCTGCTTCTACAATCCTTGTTGTTGAACATGAACATAATGTACTAATTTTAAGTGATTAAAAATAACTTGAGATGATAATATAGGGTTGTAGAATGTAACCTAGAAGTAATTCCAGTATGTGGGCTACCAGTTACTATAGCACAAAATATAAACAGCTGGAAGAAAACTGATGTGTGTACTTTCAAAGCCTGCTTTGTTCACACAAAACTCAGAAAACACTTTAAGACCACCAACTGCTGTGAAAACACCACTTGGGTTTTTTTATGCAAGAGTGGGACAAAACTACTTGTTCACATGCTGAGTGCAGGATTGAGGGTATTAGTTGAGTAACATGTGGATTACAAAGAATCTGTTTAAAACCTTGACTTTAACACTGGTCATTTTATTTGACAGGTGAATAATGATCCTGAATGCCATTCTTCTCCTTATTCCTGCAAACGGTCCATTAGTTTATTCTTTTCTGGAGATGAACAGATAAAGATAAGCAGTGAAGTCACCTATAAAGGATTTGGGTAATTGCAGTCATGTTTCTGATGATGTTGCTATACTGGAATTAATGTCATGGTGCCATTTCCATAAGAGAGATGTGAATGTATTTGTTGATAGCTTAAAAAAGTAGCCAGAACTCATCTGTAATAAATACTCCCCATCTACAGAGCAGTGTCTGAGGAAGTTGATACCTCACTTAGTGCTATGTAGTATTAAGAAATAAAACCATTGACATTCATCCTTTGATTTTTGCTGTTTGCAACTTCATCTTTTTTGGTGGAGTTACTGAATATTTACATCAGGGATTTGTATGAGGAACTCATTAGGTTAACAAGTAATTTAATAGTTATGTTTTCTAATGTAAAGTTATTTTTTATTCTTTGTAATTTCAGAGTACAATTACCTTATGTTATTGGAAACGTACATATCCAGAAACTAGCTGGGTACTTCCTAATCAGGCACCAGTATGCCTTTACTCTGGCTTGGGATGGTACATCTGCAGTGTATATCAAAATGGCACCAGAGTACCTGGGCAAAACACGTGGACTATGTGGAAATAATAATGCTGTTCTGCAGGATGATCTTGAAACTAGTTATGGTGAGTATTTAAAGTACTTTCCATTGTGTAATATGGTTTGTTTTTTTCAAGTGAAATAAATGTTGCTTTGTTTAGTTTTTAATTGCAATGCTAATTGAAGATGGGCAACTTTTGAAATGGAAAATATGATGTGGAAATACTTCTGGTAGATGATAGTGTGAGGGAAGAGGACCAGTTTCAATACAGATGGGGCTCTGGGGAGGAACATCTTTAACAGGCTGTTTTACTCAATTACCTACGATGGTATTTATACTTCAGTTTCCTGGGACCTGAAAGATAAAATCTATTTTAAATGTTCACTGCCTTCTTAGGAATTTTCTAGCCTGTGGAAGTTTGAGATATTGCTATTGGAAATAAATCAATAATTAGTAAATCAAATCAATGGAAACTGCCAAATCCTGTTTGATCTGGCATTTCATTTAACTGACACTTTCAGAAATGCCCAGTGATCCTTTAACACCAACTTCAGACACTTCTTGGCTTTCAGTTAATGCTGAGTGAAAACCTCTATAAAATTTTCCAAAATAATCACCTAAAGCCCAAACCAAACAAACAAAGAACTCCACCAAAAACTGCAAAACTAAACCAACAAAAAAGCCCCAAGAAAAACCAGGGGAAAAAATCAGACCCCTTGAAATGTATCTCAAGTTAGGTGATAAAAATTTGTGGAAATCATTGCTTTGGGCTGCTTAACTGCCTGCCCCTCCCCTTTAACATTAGGATATTTCTGTAGAGTACTACTTCAATGCTCAGAGTAGGTGTGGTAGGTTTCCTTTGCTGTTTGTCCATGCTACTCAGTTTCAGAGAACACCAGCCCTGCACTGCTAACAGTTATTACCCCTACTGAATACTTTGCTCACTAGATCTAATTGCTTATATTAATATCAAGATCAATAGCTCATTGCCTTAGAGAATTTTCTCTATTCTCTCACCTTTCTCGGTGTGTCTTAGTATCAAAAACTGTGATTGTAGCAGAAGTCACTACACTGCATACTGGCTTTATCCAGTTAGCTTGGGGAGCAATAGTAATGAAGATATGGCAAGATATGCATTCATGGGTAACCCAAGCAGAAAACAATGTTGCCACTTGTCCATGATGGATAATCCTAATAACAATGGATTAGCTAATTTAACACTAGCATGGACATTTATATTTACACAAAAGAGCCACACCCTTACTTGGCCAATGCAGACAATCATTTCATACCCTTGCAGTGACCCAGGAATACTTCATCTTTCTTGGTTTTTTTTTGCTCTCTATTGGGAGTTTTATATAAAGTAAGAGCGTAGACCTGTCTATGTATGTATAGTTTATTAAGGCTTTTCTTTCCTTTCTTCAATTGATGGACTGCAGCAGGCACAGTCCTCCTCCCTTGAAGCCCTGCCTTGCCAAATTGCCTGAGTAAGCTGCTTTCTGCCATTCTAAAGCCCTCTTTTGTAGTTCCTTTTAAAAGTATTTTTTGCTTCTTGGAAGTACCAGGTCATTTTCAGTCTAACAGCAGATTCATTTAGTTGTAGGAAGGGTTTGGTGCTCTCACCTTAATGTGTTTTGATTATTGTTTCCCTGGGAAATCCTATAGAAATGCAATTGTTCTTCCAAGTCCCTGTGTGACTCTGTGTGTGTCTTGTTTAGGAAAACTGACAGACGATGTAACAGAATTCGTAGAGAGTTGGCAAGAAAATCCTCCACAAGGAACACCCAATTGGGATAAATCTCTTCTCAATGACCCCCCCTGCCTGACACAAAGCCATGAATCTCTACAGGTTTGAATCAACACAAAAGGAATATTATAATAGTTGGTGATTCTAATGAGAGCAAGAATTTGACTTCATACTTTGAAGGAGGCTGGAAATATTCACAGCTCTTTGGACAGATTAATTAAAATGGTTGCTGCAGCAGATCTTCCCTTGTCCCCTCATTCCTCTCTCCCTTCCTTCCCTCCCCCCTTCTGTATTTAATTTTTGATCTTTTCAAATATTGTATTGTCTGCATAGCAGCCAGTGGAGTTGAGTATGGAGCTAAATGAGTGCAAAGGTACAAAGTAGGGGTGCGTTCCAGAACCAATTCCCATTCCTTTCATGAGGAAGGATAGAGAGAAGCAGGGGGGCAAAAACAGAATGAGGGCTCTGTTAATTTGCCAGTGTTTAAAAAGATAAGTTATTATTACTTTTGTCCATAACATTGAAGCAGTTTTTACTTTTAAGTAATATTTTTAGATGTAACGCTTAAATTAAGTGCTTTGAAACTAAATCTGATGCTAGGCCTGACGTATTTCTATTGCTTTTTCCTATGGAATTTAAATAAAATGAAGACTCTTTGCAAGTCATCTTGTCTAAGCTGCAAAATGGTCTGTGCCTTTCTTGAGGAAGGGATATATTTTACTACCATGGGTATGACCTTGTATAAAAGACTCAGTGTAAGGATACTCTGGCATGGAGAGCAATATGTTGCTAGACACTGCTTCTAGCTGGTGAGAGGAAATTGATTCCTAATCACAGATATGTCTGTTCTGATTTGTCATAGTATTCTGTTCTGCTTATATCTATCTTTGAAAACCTTCTCTTCACAACAGTTGTCTCTCTCATTTCAGAGGGCATACGCTCTGTGTAATATCCTGTTACATCCCCCGTTTAAACAATGTCATGATTATGTGAGTCCTCTTTCTTTTATGGCAAGCTGCACGAACGATCTTTGCATGTAAGTGAATGTTTTTGGGTAATTCCAAAGCTATTATAAAAGACATTGTCCTTCATCATGAGAATGTATTTTAAATGCTAACGGAACTAATTCATGTCTTTCTTTTCCCCCTGCACATTATTTTTTATCTAATATTGTTTTATTATCTTACTTTTCTTGCTTGTTCTAGTTTTACTGCTGTGGAATACTGTGGAGTTGTTCTTGTTTTCTTTGGTATAAGGATGACCAAAGTCAGGCCCAGATGTTTTTCTAGTTTTTTAGTGTATCTTCCTTGAATATGACATCTGGTTTGATTCTGAATATGCAGTGTCCTTAGTATTGGTATAGTGCTACTGTAATGAAATGGAATATTGAGTCAGTCATTTTGGCATTTGCAAATCATATGGTAATATTCATAGTATGTTAAGGATGTTAAGGAGTTGGAATGGACCTTAGAGATCATCTAGTCCCAGCCACTGCCCTGGGCAGGGACACCTCCCACTAGACCAGTTTGCTCAAGGCTTCATCCAGCCTGGCTTTGAACACTGCCAGGGTTGGGGCAGACACAGCCTCTTTGGGCAACCTGTGCCAGTGTCTCACCACCCTCACATTAAAAAACTTCTTACTAATATCTAATCTAAATTTCTCTCCTTCAATTTATACCCATTACTTCTTGTCCTATCACTGCAGTTCCTAGCAAAGACTCCCTCTCCAGCTTCCTTGTAGGCTCCCTTCAGGTACTGGAAGGTTGCTATGAGACCACCAAGCAACTTTCTCTTCTTCTCTTCTCTCAATCTCTAAAAAGAGGAATTTGATTACTATTTGAACTTATACTAGCAGTTTACAGCCTGCTATGCTTCTTGTCCAAGCAGTCTTGACTAGTTAAATTAACAGGCAGGGCAGAAGAATATTTCCATTCCCTGTGCCGTGATGACTCAGTGATGGAATTCTTACACTTTGTTGTGAGTATTCTGCAGGATGATATTCCTTTTGTAAAAATCTAGACTTATTCAAGTCTGTTTATACTGCTGTATCTTTGGCTTTCATGCATTTATTCAGGAACTGAATGTCAGGTCTCAGTTATATTGATATTTATATTAATGACCGGTTTTCAAGTGTGGCAGAATGTTTTATCCATGTAAGACCTTTAACCTAGCCCAGCAGCACAGTACTTTAGACCAATATTAAAGTACATTCAAAAAATGTGGTTGTAAACAATGCAGGTGCATTCATGAGGTTATGATTGTATGTTTGAAGGGGTAAAAAATATGTCCATTTTTATTTGTGTAAGGTCAGCAGTTGATAATGCAACTTGGTGTCGAGCACTGACTGAATATGCCAGAGCATGTGCCCAAGCAGGAAAGCCACTTCATGGATGGCGTGTGCACTTCAAGCAATGTGGTATGGCAATACTTCTGTGCTTGGAAATGCTGCTTAGGAGTTCTATTTTGAAAAGGCTGCTCTTCACACTTTTACTACTTTGTCCTTCCTCCTATTTTGAACTTGTATAGTTCTCAGTGAAAGCATAACTGTGGACTCACTTCAAAGCTACATAAATGTGATGTAAAGCCTTTTTCATATGTGTAATTTGTACTGAATGTATTAAAAGCACTAAGCTTATTAGAATGTGTTTTAAGAGCCTTCTTACTAAATCAGACAATCTTTAAGATAATTGACCATTTTAATTTTCATAGAGCTACTCTTTCAACTATTGTCAAAGTCTTCATGGCTTTCTAATGTATAAAATGTGTGTCATGAGCGTTAAGAATTAATTCAAATTACACTTGCATAAATCTTCTTAAAAATTACTAAAAATAAGTTTGAAGAGGTCATCTGATTTGTTCACCTGTCTGGACCACAGAACCAAAACTGCTTTGGCATTCATGACAGAAAATTTCTCCTGTGGTTCCAAAAATGTTTGTTAATGGATGATCTGATGACTTCTGATGATGGCCTGAGTATCTAAATAGCTCTGCTGTGAGAAAGTTTGAGTCTCCCTTAATGTAGTTGAAGATTATTCCTTCTTAATGCACCTTTAATATGAATATATAAAAATACATATCAATTATCTCTGTGGGTTAGAAAAGCCATCGTTCTAAACATTCTTCTAGACAACAAATACTCAATCGACTTGCCAAAAAGTAAATGCCTTAAAGAAACATGTGCAATCTATTTAAGCCCAGAGGCATTACCACAATTCCTTTTTATTTCTCTACTTGTTTCTATTTTTAAGTCATTACCTGTCCTGAACCCTTGACCTTCAATGAATGCATCAACTGTTGCCCTGTTTCATGTCATCAACAATCACAGTGCATTGACAGTGAGCTTTCCTGCATTGATGGATGCTACTGTCCAGATGGTAAGTTTTGCTTCTTAAGTGCATATTATTCAATTCCATATAACTTTCAGATTGTTTTTGCCCAAGGTTACATCCCTACATGACCTGACTAGATTTAAGCATTCACAGGAGATCTTTATCAATGGAGAGCCAACCGAGTGTGGATGACTGACTAGAGCCTTTTCCTCTCTCTAACTAGTAGGAACAGGTTTCAGTACAGATCCATGTTATATCTGTAGAGCTCCACAATTTGAGTGAAAAATGAGGTTAGCTCTATAATTACAGGGCACATATCCTCCTACTTCCGGTGGCTGCTGCTTGCTTTTTGAGGGGGTGATTCCTTTGGTGGGTTGTTTCATTTTTTTGTGTTTTCTTTCTCCTGAATACTGTCTGCAACGATACGATGCGTAGAAGAGCTCAAAAACAGGACATAAGTAAAATTAACATGGCCAGAAACAGGTTTTGTACTGCGATTCTTACACCGTTGTATGGTTCTGACAAGTGAGGTATCTACCAATGTAGTCTACAGCAAAACTTCACCCTTTTTAAGAAAATACACATCGATTTCCAGTTTTCCCTTGTTGCTGCCTTCATTTGGGTGCATAATTCCCACTAAAAGAGGACAGAGGTAGTTATGTCATGGATCTTTCAGTCCTGCCTCTTATACGTACCCCAATGATTTATAAGTATCTTTGTATGACGTATTTGTCACATATTTTACTTTTTATGGATTAGTAAACCCTTTTAGCTTCTGGCTCTCTAATAATAAAACATTTAGAAAAACCCAAACAAACACAACAAAACCCCACAAAAAATGTACTAAAGCAGAAAACTATTTAAATTAAATATGGACCAAAGAGAAACTTAAAACACAGAGGCAAAGATTTGTAAATGTGTTGAAAAACAAGTAAAGGTACTCAAAACAGCATGGCTTGGTGTTAGTGCATTTGGTTTTGGGGTTTTTGTGTGTTTGTGAATTCTTCTCACTTGCTCCCATAGTATTAGATATTTGTTATTCATACTATGTTTAGTGTACCTCAAGAAATTAAGTGACTTGGTCCATGTGATATGATTTCTTTAATTCAAGTGTGCAATTGTTTTGTGAAAATGACTACCAAGTAGTCTAGAGTTTTGTTATCATACATACATGACCATTTATGTTGTTCCAGAGTATACTTGCTAGTGTTGTCAGCCATGTGTATGGATATCTCACTTTTTCTTGTTATTTTATTTCTTCTAGGCTTAATTTATGAAAATGAATTGTGTGTCAAGCCTATGGACTGTCCCTGTGACTACCATGGAAGTTCCTTTGAAAGGGGTTCAGTGGTTTATGAGGAATGTAATAACTGGTGTGTAATTTTTCTTTTTATACTGTGAACTTAATCTTTTCATGATCACGAGAGACAACTTCTTCTTGGCCTATTTCAGTTAGAAACAGAATAAAGTGGTCTACAGACAAAAACTGTGCCATATATCTTTGCAGTTAAGAAAAAGATAAGCTATAAAACTATTAATAGGGGAGAAGAGCAGATGACAGATATTGCAGAGAATACTGTAACATTTAGTACTCTTGCACCTCAAACTCTGCCTCAAAGAAAAAGGAATCTAGAATTCAAAATCTTACCAGGAGAACTACTTTATTTTGTGTCTTGGTTGTATTGTCTCACTTGGATATCAAGAGCCTAAAATATAAATGTGACACTAAGCTGTTTTGAGAATACCTAAGTGAATTTTATACATTGGACAGAAAAATTTGTAGGAAGAGAAAATGTCTTTTATTGAATCACCTGAATTGAAGAAAACGGATGAGCTTGCGGATGTGCTGCTTTTTTTTTTCTCACAACAGTTCTACTTTTATAAGATTCAAATTGCTTGTGTTTATTCTTTTCAGTTTTATTAATCTTCAACTTTTGTAATGGTTATTTAGGTACTAAAAAAAAGGAAATAAAAATATTATTAAGTGCATGGGGTGAAAGTTCACCTGATCATGTCCTTCTGACAAGTTCTTGCCCAGCTTCCATTGACTGTGATAACTCTATTGTACCCTTTTGTAAGACTCAAGACAGTTGATGCTCGCTTCATAGAGAAGGAATTCAAGATCAACTGAGGGACAGCCATATATAATCCATAAAATAAAAGTATGAAACCTTTTTGTTTTGATTTCAGCACTTGCATTGGAGGAAAGTGGATCTGTACAAATCTTACGTGTCCGGGTATGTCCAAGTCTTGAATATTTAACTGTTTGATAACTGAACAGGTAAAATATTACTGTTAGATCCTAATCTGATTTTTCACTGCACAATTTTAATTTTATTTCTTTCTGCATATAAATGACACATAAAGTAGATTAAATATGAAAGTGGTCTAAATAGCAGGCATCTGCCTTTCAGCTTAGTGCAGTAATGCGTGTCCCTATACATCACCACAATGTCTCTGGTAGATGACACTACCAGGCCATTCATATCATTCAATCAAATTTTCCTCTGCAATCTTCACTTGATAGAATTGTGGCAAGTTTACTTGTTTTCACTCAGTACTTCTGGCTTATCAGTTAACTGTGGCAGTGCTTAATGTTTCTGAAAATCTGTTTTTAAGAGCCACAAATCCAATACCCATAATGTAAAGATAGCACATATTGCCTCATTCCGGGGGAAGAGCTGTTTAGGTATCCTGGCCTGGCATCAGGCAGGAACTCCACAACAAATGCAAGGATAAGGTTCAGATCCTAACGATGTTTCTAGTGCCTGGTTGTAACAGGAATACAATTTTATAAATGATAGCATCTATCAGAGCGTATGAACTCTACAGCAGTAACAACTGTTGAGAGTACACTGTCTTTTCTACATACTTAAATGCATTATTTATTGTATTTGTCAGCTGAATGCTCAGTTTCAGGAGACACTCATTTCATGACGTTTGATGGGCGCAAATACACTTTCCAAGCTACCTGTCAATATATTCTGGCAAAGAGCCGAACGTCTGGAGCATTTACCGTATCCTTGCAAAATGCTCCTTGTGGACAGGTAAGGCTTACATCTTTCTGGAAGTCTATTATTTGGGGAGGAAAAGTATGGGGGGGAAAACAAGTTAACTGCAACTGAATATAATAATCAGTAACACCAACTTTCCATAGTGATGAAATGGGTGAACAGCAGCAGTGTAAAGGAAGTCTGTACATAAATTCTCATGTTTGCTTGTGATAAATAGAAGGATTATGCTAGTAGTCTGATTGCATATTCACCGAGGCTGTTGAATAGTGTATGGGGGCTCATGCAGCACACACTGGGTGATGACTTCTTTTCTTGAGCTTTCTGAGTACATCTTTGAGTTTGCAGCCAGCACAAAGTAAGTCTACTGCTTATTACTGCTTGAAGGAAGAATGACTTTTTTTTGTGCCTTGAATATATATTTCTCTTTCATCTTTGTACTTGCAGCTTGAAATTTACTTTTACTTACCTTGATATGAAAACTCTTCTATTGGTTTTTTTGGGCAGCGCTCTCAGATTTGGTTATATAAACACATCTGTGTTACTGATGTTAAATTGGTTAAAGTTGTTTTCAACCAAACATGCATATGCACATACACAGATGATACTAATAGTGCTACTAAAGGTGCTACTAGGAGTAGCTCCTACTTTGTTTGTGAGTTTCTAGTACTGTACACAGAAGTTGCCAAATGTTTAGCCTGCCTTACATCCAAGACTCATTCTCTTTCCTTTGTTGTGCATGTGGATTTCTGAGTATATATTGTAATCTATGTGTGAGGTATGGAACTCTGTTAAGATTTTTGACTACAGTGTTTCATTCTTAGTATAGTCTTGGTAGAGCTTACAATATTGCGGAAGTTGAGTTAGAAGAGATCTTAAACATACACAGGTGGTATGAGAAGTGTAGTTGACTGACTGAGTTGAGCTGTTTGCTGAAATTTGGCTTTTCTCACTGACTTTGAGTTCTACATATGCATGAAAGGTCAGAATTGAGCCCTTAGAATTTGTATTAGGGTTGTGATGGTACTTTGGATGCCTACTTACTAAGCTGCTGAGTCGCTGTAGGAGCAAGACTTTGTATTTTGGCCAGATTCATGTTCAATCTCCAGTGGTCTTTTGTAATGACTTTTACCTAGGAAAAACTGTACAGAAATTTGAAGTGTACAGAGTATTAAGTATGACTCTCCTTGCTGTATTTCTAGACCATGTAAGGTATGTTAGGCCCATGTTGTTACATAATTTGCATGAAATCAGATTTAGTGCCATTGCTTTGTATTTCTGAGGAGGTAACTACTTACACTTCATAAAATTAGTTTTCTGTTGTGTCCTAAATAAATGTGTGATTCTATGAGTCTTTTTACATGATGCATTCCCTCTTCTCTGCAGCTTGTGCTGTTCATGAGCTTGAGATTTCCTTGGGAAGAAAAATGGTCATATAAGATGTCATGCTGCACTTTCTAAAGATATATTTCAGTAGTGGTTTTTTATGTCTGCACTAAAACCTTCTTCTCTGTAGGACAGAAAAGATCCTTAAGCGGAAGGGAGATATATTAAAGTGGCATGGATAAGTTTATTATAATAGAAATTGTTTATTTGCAATCCATGTAAGAGATGGGAGACTGAGTGCAGAGAGTCTCCTCATCTCAGTGACAAAAGTTGAAAGGTAAGAAAAATAGCTTAACTAGATAGAGATCAGATATTTTAGAGACCAAATCTAGATATTTTACAACTAGATGATCCACAAGTAAATGTCTCTTCTATGGTTCCTAAGAGAAGGATGTCAGGACACCAGGTGAGGTATGTGACAGGGCTTGGAACTTACCACTGAAAAAGTGGATTCCTGGGTTGTGAATACAACTCCTTTATGATTCTAAAAGCCTCTAGCTCTTTGAGGTAGAAGAGTTACAGTAGGGGCTGTGAAATGATACCTTGGAAAGGACATGCACATTAAAATAACCTTCTAGGCTTTAACATGTGTGCCTCATTCTTTAGGTTGGGAAGAATCTAGTGATCCTGTCAGTATTTCCTGTTTATAGAAAGATTGAGACTGTTTTGAGGTACAACACACTTGATCATTAAAATTCCCCAACTGAAGTATGTGTTTGACTTGGCTTGTTTTGATTTTAATAGGTTTATCTGGCTTCAGTTGGTACTAACCTTGAGTTGTTGAGGAGTTGACTATGTATCATCTAAAAGGGAAAAAAATAGCTGTGAAACAAAACATAAACATAGGGATTCAACATAGACATAAATCTGTCAGTCAGCATCATATTCTCAGAAATTTGTGAAGTCTGAGAAGCTTGAGAAAGGTGGTTGCATAATGAAGCTGTACTATATTGATGAAGAAAAGCAAAGGACACCCCAGAGAATTGCTCTAGGCAGTTTTCTTATGGAATGACAGTTGAGGCATAATAGACTTCTTGGAGAAGCCCACAGCAAGGTACCCTTCAGCCTGACCTGTTGAAAAGCCATCAATGGACAATAGAGGTCTGAAGCAAGTATCTGCTGTGGTAATGTACAGGATAGGTATGTGTCTCATTCCTTTGTGTTACAGAACACATCTCCTGTGCAAAACAGACAGTATAATAATTTTTTTTAGTAGTTCTGGTTACTTTTTGTTGGGGAAAGTGGTAATCAAGTTCGTTGGTTTTCTGCAGTACAGGTGAGACTGCAAAGTGGCTTGCAGTAACTCTTGTGTTTTTCTTTACCCTGACTTCCAGACTTTACTTAATGTGTGTCTGTGTCCAAGTGCTTTGTAGGTGAAAAAACAGATTTTTTTCACTTTTACTGCATACTGGGCTTCATACTTCACAAAGCCTTTAGCAAAAGTAGCCTGATCAGCCTGTAATAGGTATAGACTTTTACAGAGATTGGAGTGAAGCATTCTGGATGTTAACAGCCAGGTGGGTGATCAGAGGATTATGTGGTATGTGCCAGGGCTATGTGCTGCTAACTTAATTATCAGTGTACAAGAGATAAGAGGGTAGTGAGAACAGTTTGTGTAGTATAACGCAAGAAAATGTGGCTTCAGTGTGGCTATTCAATTCTCTAATTATCAACTAGCTGGTACCACTTGGCAGAAGAGCTGCTTTTCAGTTCCCTAGGCACCGTCCATTATCTTTTTTCCCATTTATAAAAATTAATGAATTGAAATGGAAGCTGAAAGATTTGTAATGTGGAATCTCATATTTCTTGATGGTTTGAGGTTTTATATGCTTCTTTAAAAAAAACCCAAACCCTTATCACTCCCATCTCATTCAAGCAGATTAAAAAATGTGGAAAGTAAATACCTGGGGAGATTTTAGCTCTCTGAATCACAAAGAATCCAGTCATCTGGAGCCTTAGAGCTGGTGACATAAACAGTCAACAGGCAACAAGTTATTTCAAAACGATGTGAAATTTTGTTTAAGCATTTCTTGGAAGGAGGATCAGTCAAGTGATCAGCACAGCTTAACCTTATCTGAGTTTCAGGTGACAACCTCACTGGCTTTGTAGTTTGTGTGATGAGAAGGCATTCTGAATATAGAATTTTTTAAAGTGTCTAGTGAGAGAAATGGCCATTTCTGTGAAAACACCTGCTGAAATCTGGCAGGGGCAGTGCTATGAAAGAAACAGTTCATTGAAACAGAGAACAATTGTCAGGCAGAATGTCTCCTTCAGTTTCAGCATGAAAGAATAATAAAGCTTTTGTCAATATTATGTAGCAATGTATATACTATGGAGGGTTGTTTTCTTGGCTTTGGTCTTTTATGCATGCCACCTGCCATTCTTTTATTTTCAGCTTCTTAAAACACCAACAATATTGCCAATTTTTAGCCATTGTTGCTGAATGAAATGCACAGCAACCTAATTTCTTAATGAAGAGACAAGACAAAAAGATAAGCTACAAGGCCATGCTTTCACAAGGCAGATGTTTGTCTTTGTCAGTCCAGGAGAGCTGGTTGAGCTGGTGAAATCTCTCTAGTTATTTTTATAATTTGCTATTTTCAAGTTTCATTTTATCATTTCAGCTGTTGATGAAAGATCACTGTTGTACTATTATTTAGAGACAGGGAAATTCAGCATGTAGTTTTTAATCTTTACACACCACTACGTGTACTTAGGTGTCCATGGCACTTGAAGAACTGACATGATTTGCTCTGTGCTAGTTCAGCATCTGTCAAAGCCACATGGTAGTGTTCAGAGATCCTTGCTGCTCTAGTCATTGTTTTCAACAAGTAAGGCAGCATTTGTCCTGCATGAGACAAGTCCCAGTGAAAGAGTTGAATAAAAGTGTAAATCTTTGAACTGATGATACTAATGTCTTTGCACTGTGAATGGTGCTAGTCACAGTATAATTTTGCTGTTTGTGCAGATGACCAAAGGTCATCTTTAGATCTTGTTCAGTGTCTCTTTCAGCACTGAAGATGCATAAAATTTTACTATTTTATCATTAGTTTTCTCTTCACTGAAGGCAGTGGGGCCAAACAGTGTAGCCTCTCACACCTCTGTGTCTATGCTGGGTGTTTCTGGACTGCAGCTCAATGCTCAATCCAATCAGTGCTAAATTTTCTGCAGTGAGGCCTAGACTGCTCTTTGACCAATTGATTTCAGACATGTCTGTATATGTTCTGGGATATAAGACTGTTTTGTATTTGTGCTGAAAATGGCATTGATAATACAGAGACGTTTTTGCTATGACATTGAGACATTGAAGGGTCATAATTGCGATTAGAGTAAAATGAATAAATAGTATGACAAAAGTGACTGGACCCAATTTTTGTCATTGTTCTTGAATACCTTTTAAATGTTTACCAGCTCTTTCAGCGAAGGAAGCTGAACAGAAGAATCAGCAGTTGGGTGCTTCCCCCTTTAGTCTGTAGATGGCAGGGAATGGACAGTCTCCTAACTTTATCCAGCCACACCAAGCCAGTGTAAATAAGCTGATGCCTCAGAAGCTATAGTAAGGAGATCTGAGTATAGCAGGAGTGGCAGAAACCCAATTTCTTCCTAGAGCAAGGAGAAAGTAGAATGTGGGTGGGGATTATGATGTCTTTCAGCATGTAGCAAGGTCAATTACAGAATGCTGACATGGTAAAGTTCAAGTCATCTCTTGATCTACCTCTGTGCCTGCTTCTCTGTAATATAACATCTTTCTTTTTAACAGATCAAGTAGTGATCAAATACATTCTGTTCAGAAAAATCTGTTCATTTGCTGTGATTAATAAATATGCTTTAACAAGCATTCTTTCCATGTTGGCATTGAAAGCCAAAGTACTTGTAGTTATTCTGGTAGGTGGAAGGCCTGTCCTGGAGACTGATTGGAACTGACTAGTGTAAATCACCTATCTGACTTGTTTCCATGCTATTTTGTGAAGGTGTATTTGTTACGGTGACACTTTGCAAGCATGTTGTAATATTCATTAGCCCTCAGACATGTTGCTTTCCTCCTGTGTGATATGGTGGCTAGTCAAAGATAACTACAGTAACAAAACATACAGTTAAATAATTTGTGACTTCACTGAGGTACCAATCAGTTTCACTACTTGATTGAATGGATAAAAAACCCTCAGCCTAACAAATGTAGAACAGGTATACAATAGGTGACTTTTGCTTTGACGAAAGCAGTTAACTTGAATTCAGCTCTTAATCTTTCAGCTGCTCTGAAATTTCCTTCTGTGTGGCATGTAGCTTCTTTGTGTTGTGGAACCTGAGCACATGAGTCTCAATGCTTAGTTTTTTAGAATTTCAGTTAATTAACTCCTTTTGGTGCCATTGACAATTAAGTTCCACTGAGGAGGGTGAGCATAGAAAGGTAGGTAGGTTGACCTAGGATCCTTTTTGGAGTATGTGTCATCCAGACAGCAATGCAGTATTCCTTTACAAGTTTTGTCTATGAGATTTGGACTTTAGAGAAGTGAAATACAAATAAGAATAAGCAATGGTGGCTGTAATAAACAAGTCAGGCTAATTGGATGCTGTGATATTGTGTGCTGTCATGATGCCACCTTTCTTTCATCAATATTCATCCAGGGAGCTTATGAACATACTCCACAACTCCTCTCAGAACTACTGAGCTTAAATGCTGTTTTAAATAATGATTCACAAGATGCTTCTGTCTTTCATTGTTGCTTGCCTTCAAAAGCATTTATATCTTAAATATGCTTTAAAAGAAACTGGGTATGTCCAAACACTTCAAATACAAATATGGATTTTGGTGCACTGCTCTATAGATGATGTAGTCTTGTTTATGAGCATTAACTCAGCCTCAGTGGGTCTTTAATCAGGAGGTTTCATGAAATGTGGATGTCTTGATACTAAGTTATGTAAGAATTTTTTAAATTTCTCTTTCCAAAACTCACTTTTGGGCTGTATTGCATAACAGATTAGTGTTATTGTTAGACATACACTGGGAGTAATTTAAATTACTGTTTTCTTACTTAGCTGTAATGCTGTATGTTTTACAAGTTCACTCTGCTAAGAAGCAAGGTACAGCTTAACGTTTTCAATCCCCACTTGCACTGTACTGTTTTCTTGCTTAGCTGTAACGCTGTATGTTTTACAAGTGCACTCTGCTAAGAAGCAAGGTACAACTTAACGTTTTCAATCCCCACTTGCACTCTTATTTAACATTCATCCTGTTTAAGTGTTTTGTTTCATGAATTTCTTTTTTTCTCTTGTAGAACCAGGATGGATCATGTATCCAATCAGTCAGCCTTATTCTTAAGCAGGACCCCAAGAGGCAAGTGACTCTGACTCATTCAGGAGATGTTTTGATATATGACCAGTACAAAATTAACCTGCCTTATGCAGATGGTAAGGAATAATATATAAGCCTATAACTCTTATCAACACTAAAGCAGTATTTTAATGACATGTGTGCATGTTGTGATACTGTCAATATTGCTAACATACTAAAGTTAAATGGCATATTTTAGTATCAATATTGTTAATTTCTTATGAAATGTTTCACAAATTAACTGCTGTAATTTTTACACTGGTGGTAGGAGTTGTTCAGTAGTTGTATTGGCTAGTGTCTCTCATGTTAAGATTGTTTGTTCTGACAGTCCAAATGCCATCCCTCAAATCTGTAAGGTTGGTTAGTTCTTGTCTGATGGGAAAATCTTGTCTCTGATTTCTTGAACTGAGTAACTTCTTTTCCCTTCTTTGTAAGCAACTTGACTAAATGTAAGTGGAAGGAGTCCTCTTGCCTCATACAGATAAGATGTAGATTTTCAGACGAAAAAATAGATTGTTGCTTTTTCTTTTTGCTGAGTTTTTAAGTCTTTTTGCTTTGAGTTTTTAAATCTCTCCCTCTCAAAGGTATTTGGTATTCTATATATGAATATGTCACCGTGTTCTGTGAGATTTCATGTTAGCTTTAATGAGAGCAAATCATTAGTACATTTGTTGCCTGAAAGTTGTTGGCTCTTCAGGAATTTCACTAAAAGGCTTTGATCCAGGAGCATGTTCCTGGTGTTAGGACTAGTTTGTCTACAAGAAATGGTCTGCAATGTTTGCATCTTTAAATTGATTTCCTTTTAGCTTACCTTTACAGATATCCCAGTGAACTCTGGATGCATTTTTGAAGTATGGTGACTCTCACAAGTTTCTTGTTTTCTTCTTTGAAGGTTGAATCGGTGTAACCTTTCATGAGAAATCAATGAAAACTTACATAAAAGTGATATAAATAAACCCCAGTGAAATGACAAGAAAAAATACAAAATGCAAACAGATTTCCTTTGCCTTTCAACTATCTCTGTTTTTACTCACCAGAGCTATTTGAAATACGGAAACTTTCCTCTGTATTTCTTCAAGTAAAGACACACATTGGATTACAGATCCTGTATGACAGAGAAGGACTGAGGCTTTACCTTCAAGTGGATGGACGGTGGAAAGATGATACTGCAGGCCTTTGTGGAACCTTCAATGGAAATACAGAGGATGATTTTTTGTATGAATAGCTGCAAGATTTCTATTTGGCAGTATATGAATATCTACAGTTAGAGTGGTAGATCAAGTGTGTACTGAAGCTGAATGGATAGATACCCAGAATTAATTTATTTTGAAGTTTTGTGTTATGAGATAAACAGTAGGTGTTAGTTTGCTCACAGAAAATTTGTAACTTCAACTCTAGGATATCAAGCCAGGTTTTGCTTCAAATATTTTAATATAAAACTACAGTGAAATATATATTACTCATAAGTGCTATTTTATCTGAAAGATGCTGTCCAAAATATGGATTGGCTTATATAAGGGATTTTCTGCCTCTCTGAAAGCCTCTATCTCTTTCCAGCTTCCATTTTCTGCTGCAAAGTCTAATCTGTTGTCTCTGACAGAGCCTCCATTGTTCAGTGCCTGCAGGCCAACAACAGGAACTGGCTGTTGCCTGAGCTTTGCAGTGAAAGGTGCAGTGAAAGGTGCAGTGAAAGAGCTGCCTGAGCACTATAGTTAAGATTGCTGTTTGCCTCTCTGAAAGCCTCTATCTCTTTCCAGCTTCCATTTTCTGCTGCAAAGTCTAATCTGTTGTCTCTGACAGAGCCTCCATTGTTCAGTGCCTGCAGGCCAACAACAGGAACTGGCTGTTGCCTGAGCTTTGCAGTGAAAGGTGCAGTGAAAGGTGCAGTGAAAGAGCTGCCTGAGCACTATAGTTAAGATTGCTGTTTGTGCAGCTTCTTTCGTTGTGTTGCAGGGAAAGGTGCAGTGAAAGAGCTGCCCGAGCACTATAGTTAAGATTGCTGTTTGTGCAGCTTCCTTACAGCATATTTCCTACAGATACTACAGAACAAATTGGCTTCAGGTGATTAGAGCAGCCTAATGGAACTAGGAGAACAAGAATTTAGAGCATGACAGGATATTTTGTTTACTAAGGGAAAAAATAAATGAGTAGAACTTCTTTGTGTCAAAATAGCTGGAATTTTTAAAATCAAAGCCAATTGAAAAATGGAAAAACTTTCCCTAATGGGTCCCATTTAAACACATACACACAAATATTCTAGTGGAATTTGGAACAATTTCTGTCATAAAGATTGCCAGAAGATTGTTTCTAACAAGTCTAGGAGACATATAGCCAGGATCTCAATGAAGAGATATTGATGTAAAACTACTTAAAGTACATCTTTGACAAGTTTTGTAGTATATTTTTGGTGAGTCCTTTGATATGTTCTCACATAAATGAGAAGTTCTTCAATAGTTGATATGTGTGGGGAAAAAAAAAAGCCCTTAAACTCAGGAACTTATGAATTGTGCTGAGACATGACACAGATTATAGTGTACACATCTTGATATGTACACAAAAAGATTGATCCACACCAGATTTGGGAGACTTGCTAGAGACAGTGGTGTCTTTTGCAACACTTCCACTCCCAGCTACTTTACCAGCAGTGTACTACTGGTTGAATGCCTAATGCAACCTTTTCCCTAGAGTGTAACGCTTCCACTCCCAGCTTCTTTACCAGCAGTGATACTACTGGTTGAATGCTTAATGCAACCTTTTCCCTAGAGTGTAACAGACCATACTGGAATGCACAGTTTTGATTACTCTCCCTGTACACTATTATTGTGCCTTGGTTATTTTGATCACAGTCTTTATTGTGCAGGTTCTTTTGCCCCTCTAATTACCTGGACCTCATGGATATCCATTCAATTGGTTTTGCAGTTATATTTCTGGATGCTTGGATTTCTTTTCCTTGCTCTTTCTTGCAGGGATTAAAGAGCCTGGGAAGTCTTGAGGTCATAAACTGAGGCAGAGGAGATTCAGATCAGATATTGGGGAAAAATGTTTTCCCTGTTAGGGTATTTAGGTACTGGAATAGGTTGCCCAGGGAGGTGGTGGAGTCACCATCCCTGGAAGTGTTTAAGAGGCGTCAGGATCTGGTGCTGGAGGATCTGGTTTAGAGTTTCCAGCAGAGTGGCAGGTTAATCATTGGATTCAATGATCTTCTAGGTTTCCACCAACCTTGATGATTCCATGATTCTAAGTCAGCTACCCAGCAACAGACAAGAAAATATAGGTAGAAAAAATGTACCAGATATCAGTGAAAAAGCCAAAGTATGAATGTGTGCAGAGTTTCAGGAATGTGTGCAGACCTTTAGGACAGTGGTGCTCACTCTTGCTCTCTTTTAAAAAAAAAAAAAAAGAAAGTGAAACTTAGTCTGTTTTAATGGCTCTAGAGCACATCTTCCCTTTTATTTCTGGGCCTTTGCCTGTAAAGAAAAAGAAGAATTCTGAAACTTAAGCTTACAGTGCTTTATGGGAGAGTGCACGAGAACATGGAACAGTGAAAGGGGAGCTTGAATCAGGGGGGTGGTAGAACTGAGACCATTCTGTAAATTCACTGTGTCTTTTCTGACTGACTTCTGTTTTGTAAAAGATCTCCAGTTGGAGTAACTGAAAGCACTCCAGAGCTGTTCGGAAACACATGGAAAACGTCATCGGCATGCATTCATGTGCATGATAGTTCACAAATGGATCCATGTGATATTCATCTGCAGGCAGGTGGGCAGTGAAGGCCAGTGTTATTGACAAATGCATTTCTACTTAGTACATCTGTGCCCATTTAACTAGTTGGATCAGGTAATGTAATTAACCCATCCTAGCCACTAAAACAATTAGTACTTACAGGTAGCACTTGCTGAGTTCAATCCCCAAGAGATCATATTGTATATTGTTTAAGGATTTTGTGATACTTGCAGAGGCACTTGAAATACCTCCTTTTTATTTCTGGTTTGCAGATACATTGTGTTGAGTTAGACATGCATTAAAGGTTGGTAGTATGTCTAATATTGGTGATGCTGCTAGTTAAGATGAAGACACAAACCTATGGCGGTGTTCATTTTTGAAAATAGTGAAAAAAATTAAATGCTTGATTCAGTTTTCTGTTATGAAGGAGAATGATGAAGATATGAAAGATGCTTAGGCACTGATAACCTTTAGATTCAGCTGAAAGGGCCCAGTTAGGGAAATATGCTAGTGGCTGATGCCATGAGGACAGAGGTGATCACTAAGTCAATCTCTAATAATGATGAACTTTGTAGATCAACAGTTACAACTATTTCACAGTTTCTGCCCCTTCTTTTGGACTCTAGACACTTGTAAAGACATAGAGGTAAAATAATAAGGTTTTGCCTGTAATTTCAGCACTGCCAGGGAATCATCACATCTCCTGTTACAGCATCATCTGTCTTTTGAGTATTTATACCATGTGCAGTACTAAGAACCTGCATTCTTGGTAATGGTTTTGGATGTGAATGTGAAAAAAGTGGCCTGTACTGGAAGTCAGAAATTCTGGAAAACTGAGGTTTTGGATGTGAATGTGAAAAAAAGTGGCCTGCACTGGAAGTCAGAAATTCTGGAAAACTGATTTTGAAGTCCTAGTTTATACATGACATGTTTTTTGGTGGGAATTGTATATCTTTCTGAACATGCTAATATAGCATATTATTTCTTTTAACCACAACTTTTTAATGCATTAAGAATTATGACATTCAAATGAGTGCTGTGTTTGGAGCTGCTTACACAGCTATTTGACACTGCTCTTCTCCTGTGCAACAAGCTAGCAGCTCTGGTTGTTGCAGCCTTATGCAACTGAAACAATGGGTAACAAATTATTCTTTAAAATACTGGCCTATTGAAGTAGCTATTGGGGCTGACTTAAATTAAAGACGTGTAATGTGTGTTTATGAAAGGCATTGGGTAGTGTGTAGCATCTGTTGCCTAATCCACCCCCATGAATCAGTTCAGAGATAGGAGACTGACTGTAGGGACTGTGCATGTTGTAAAATTTTCTGAATACCTTAAAATCACACCAAGAACAGGCTCAAAACTATGAGCAGCTAACCCTTTTTGTCCTTCCATGTAGTTGTATAGATATCAAAGATAAAAAAGATATACATGGCAGTAGCCTAGTCAGTTGCATTGTATAGAACATTTTATTCAAAGTCTTTTTAAACTCTCTCACTGAAATAGTGTTCAATCTGTTATTTGTGTAGCCTCTTATGCAGCGGAAGCTTGTAGCATCCTTACGAAAGATCTTTTTGCTCCATGCTACCCCTATTTGAGTCCTGTTCCCTATTTTGAGCAGTGCAGAAGAGACACTTGCAAATGTGGGCAGACTTGTTTTTGCTCTGCTCTGGCCCATTATGCTCATCATTGCCGAAGATTTGGAGTTGTAATAGATTTCAGAGGAGCGGTCACAGAATGTGGTGAGTTTTCTTTCACTTCTAGTCTTACACAGTTGATGTTTGAGGACTTTAGAATGACAATCAGAAAATGAAATTAACACAATCTTTTAAATGAGAAGAGGGTTCATTTTCACATGACCTTTAGCACACAGGAGAAGGCTCTTTCTTGTCAAGACAGAATTGGTACCAGTGTTTGTAGAGGATCGCTAATTTATGATTAACTTTCTTTAGTTCTTTGACTCATGAAACATTGCAAAGATCGTTTTAAGCAGTTGTAGGGCTTCAGATGTGTACAGAATTAAAAACATGTCTATATCTCTTATATGGCATTGCATATCTCATACCTTGTAGATATTATTCCTGAGCTGCATAAATAGATTGGTTCTTTTCCTTGTAGATGCAAGAAGTATCTAATTCTTTAAATGAATGAGATGGAAAGTGATGGTAATACATCTAGCAGTTTTAGTTGGATTGCTGTCAACTTCTGCTGTTTGACAATATCTGTTATTCTCTTACTGTCAGTGACACTGAAATATACAGGGTGCTGAAGTGTTGATAATTGTTATTGTTGATATTTAGTTTAAAACGAATAGAAGATTTTAAAATGTCTATGGATAGCCAAAGGTAACATCTGTTATCTGCTCTATAAAGCCTCACAAGGAGAGGGGTGGGATAATATGAAATCTTTAGTTTATAATAATGTTTAATGATGCAAAAGATATTGATAGGACATTATCAGTATGAGCCAACAGTGTGCACAGGTGGCCAAGAAGGCCAATGACATCTTGGCCTGGGACAAGAACAGTGTGGCAGCAGGACTAGGGATCATCCCCTGTACTCAGCACTG